TGAGGGGATTTGGGCTGGGCTGTGGGTAGTGGGCTAGGGGATAAGGGATTGGGCCGTGGGTGTGGGGAAGGGGGGAATTGGGTGGGTAAGTGGGGAATTGGGAAATTGGGTTGTGAGTGTAATGGGCTTGGGCTGTTGGGTAGTAGGGTCGAGGCCCAAGTAAGTCGGGTTGGGGGGAGAGGAACTGCCAGGATGCTTGCAAGCACACACGCGCACACACACACACACACATACATAATGATTTTTTTTGTAATAAAGAGAGAAATTGAAAGACGTTATGTTCTATCATAAAAACATAATTTTGTATAATACTTAATAGTATCAAATGAATTTATGATGAGATTTTTCCTCATTAAAAGAACATTTTTATGAGGGTTAAAATACTCGCATTGAATAGTTTTAATGAGAGAACTTAAATACCGTCATTATTTCTAATTAACTATGGAGCCTATAATGACGAGCAATGAGAGTAAATTTCCTCTCATTAAAAGGTTTTAATGATAGTTTTCTTTACTTTAACTACGGTTTTTACTTACATTAAAGGATATTTTTCTTGTAATGATAGTTAAACTACTGTTTAAAAAGAGTATTCTTAACTTATTATAAACAACTCTAGCAAAACAATCATATGACACAGACAATTAGTAATAAATTACTCTTTCTCATAATTTTAAAAATAGTTCTACGCTTACTATCCACACTACTCTTTAAAACAGTTTTCTTAACTTATTCTAAACAACTGTGAAAAAAAACCCTTGTGACACAGACTACTAGTAATACATTACCATTTCTCATAACTTTAAAAATAGTTCTAGGCTTTATAGCCTGACTATTGTTTAAAATTAGTATTCTTAATTTATTATAGACAACTGTGGCAACAACAACCGTATTTTGATATGACACAGGCAACTACTATTAGATTACCGTTTCTATGAACTTTAAAAACAGATGTTGGTTAAGTATCTAGACTATTGTTAAGAAAGAGTATTGTATTCTTATTATAAACAAAAGTGCCAAAAATACTATATGACATAGACAACTAGCAATAGATTATTGTTTCTCATAACTTTAAAAAACAGTTCTAGACTGAATAACTAGACTACTGTTTAAAAAGAGTGTTCTTAACTTATTATTGACAACTGTGATAACAAAAACTGTGTTTTGGTATGGCACAGACAACTAATAATAGAATACCATTTCTCGAAACTTTAAAAGTAGTTTTAAGCATAATAGCTAGACTACTACTTTTTTAGCCAACAACAACAAACAGTAGTCTGATTTTTTTTAACTACTGTTTTTTCACAAGCAGTAGTTAATCAACAGTTGTCTGACACTGTTTTTGGCGTAGTGTTGGCCCGATGGATGCCACTGAGATCCGCCGCCGCCACGCCCTCGACCGCGGCCCTTGCCGCCGCCAAGAGCTCTGTCATATCCGCCATAGCAACCATGTCCGTTCGCCTTGTCTTGCCGTTGTGCACCGCCCCTAAAGCCGCCGCCACTTCCGGTGCTAAGGAAGGCAGTGGGCGATGCGCCGGCGCCGTGGATGGAGTCTGATTGCTGCTGTTCGACGAGGAGGAGTGCAGATCAAACTTCCAGAAAGGTGGGGAGAGGATTCTGGTACTAGAGAGATTGAACTTGGCTATGGATGTCGTGTGGTAATCCCTGGAGAACCTGTAGAACGAGGGCATGCTCGGTCACCGGAGCATCAACATCATCAAGGAATTCGGAGAGGTTCTTGAGAAGACGATAATATTCGTTGATAGATCGGTTGCCTTTCACGGTGGTGCGGAAGCGATGTTCCAATTGCATCGCCCGGGCATGCTTGTTGTCGTGGAAGAGATTGTAGATAACCTTCCATAGTGCATGAGCGGAGAGATTGTTGGCAAGAACGAGATCGAAAACCTCATCCGTAATGGTGGACAAGATCCACCCTTGAATTAGTGCATCAAATTGGTACCATTCGGCGTCATTTGCAGAAGAGGCGATGGTGGTGCCGTCGATGAAGCCTTTGAGATTGAAGCAGAGAATCAAGAGGCAGAACAAACGACTCCACTTTTTGTAATTCGGCTCTGACAGACTGAGTTGCACGGGGATATGAAGTTTGATGTTGGATATAGTTGTGAAGGCGAGATGGGGGGAGTTGTTGGAGGAAGAGTTATCGGAGGTTGAAGTCACCTTGCCGGAGGAAGAATTTTCGTCGGCCATGGCTGCCGAGAGAGGCGAAGTAGAAAATCGGTAGAAGGGTGGGGGGGGGGGATTTCCGATCGAGAGAGAGAGAGGGAGGAAACGGAAGCCTAGAATTAGGGCTCTCATACCATGTAGAACGAATAATTTCCAATAGAATATTATGGGAGATTACATGTGTTTATATACAAGAGTTTCTTAATGAAAATAGGAAACTATAATTAATACACCGTATACAATTATGGTAGCTACTAATATACTCCGTACAATAATATTAAATATAGTAATGACATATTTAACAACTATCCTTTCGATAACTTTTTTTAAAATTTAGGGTACTTGAGAGTATATATTTTGAAAATTAGGGGTACCTAGCAGTTCTTACCATAAAACAGGAGGTACCCGGCAGTAGTTTTTTGTATTTGTTTTGTTTTTTTACTTCAATGTAAATTAAAATGCACTCAGTTTTTAACTTCACTTCTTGAATATTTGGTTTTTACTACCTCACTTCTTGAATATTTGGTTTTGACTAATACCGCTAATTAAATAAAACTAATGTTAGATGTTGATATAAAAATAAATTTATTATATTTATTTTTAAAAATATTTTCAAAATATAATTTTATTTAATTAATATATCACATACTCCCTCCAAAAAAAACTTCCCAATTTGACTTTTTCTCATTTTTATTGGAAGTTGACTATATGTGTAATTTGTCTAAAATACTCGTTGCCCTTCATGTCCCACCCCATAGTCTAGCAGTCCACCACCCCTTGCTCCGACCTTTGTCAGCCCCCACC